GAGCCCCCAATAAAATGATTTAATAAAAAACATAAATAAATACAATTCTAACTAAAAAGAAAAGAGCATTAGCTTATAATTCCTTTTACCCACAAGTGTCCAATGGACATAATCTCTAACCATCAAAAGCCCCATGGATCTAGTCCATAGGAGATGCATGAATGAGCTTTAATGGGGTGCTTTTTGAGTTTAGGAGAACAAAATGTCCACCACTGCCATAGAAATTCCTTTGAAATGCCCCATAACAGATATTTTTCGAGACAAATTAGCTGCAAACAAAATCTCAGATACTAATTGGGAAAACCTGCTTCATATAATTGTTTAGAATTATTTATCTGAATACCACACTGTATCTTCCAGAGTTTGGCATGGCTCATATTTAGATTTTTTTCCCTCCCAACAGTAATTAGTTAATAATTATCCAACAAATACTTGAGCAGTGTCAGCTATGTGCTAATCAATAGGTCAAGGGTCAATAAAAGTCTGTTCAGCAGTCTCTAATTCTTGGGCATTTTCTAATTTCTAACATTTAAATTTTCCAGAAAGGGAACAGGAGGGCTGCTCCCTTCAAGGACATGGAGGGGAGTGAGCCAAGAAAAGCTATTTGCTACTCCAGGGTCCATGTGCCCAAGGGAGCATACTTACGGTTTGCTGGTTTGAGCCCACTTTCTATGGCATCATGCCATACACTTCCTAATAACTTATATTCCCAAACCTTCCACCTAAGTATCTCAAACTTTCTAAACAACCTTTCCCTAGTATCTTTTAGAGACTGAGTGTGTGGTTGTCATTGGCTGGCTTTCACTTAACGTGCCTGCAATGAACTCCATTCTTATAGCCCTACCTTGACCTTATGCTCTAGTGTGCTTCAACTGGATAGCCCTAGTGGTGTAGTGGGAAAAGGTGGGCTGCTAACGGCAAGATCAGCAGTTTGAAACCAGGGGCAGCACCTGGGGAAAAAGATGAGGTTTTCTACTCCCACCAAGAGTTACAGTCTTGGTAACCCACAGGGGCAGATATGATCTATCTTTCAGGGTCCCCACAAATTGGAATTGACTCTGCGTCAATGGGTTTGGGTGTGTTCGCATTTCCAAAGACTGACTGGTGCACCTCAGTTTCTCAATAAGTGATTGCTTAACAGATAGACAATCAAACAGACTGCTGAATGTTAATTTTTCCCCTCAATCTTTTATTTTCTCTTCACTTTCAAGGCAGGTTTAACAACTTACTTCCACCCTGGAATAAACTTGAAGAAGATACATTATGATAGCATCAAACTTTATGAAACACTGGAAGAAGAAACAGGACAGGTAAAGGAAGTTAGCTTGAAATTGCCTGAGAAATATGTAAATCTCTTGATGATTCGGACTTGTCATTATACAGAGCGGCCTGTAGTGACAACAATGGCCTGCAAATTGTTAACTGTGTTAGAGAAATCTGATGACAGTATTAATGGAAGAGCCTGTAGGGTTTGCTTTAAGATCAACTAAATTTCTTATTGATGCAACGAATGACTCTGCCCTGTTGCTTTCACACAAGGAAAAGATGAAAGGCAGCTTTCCAAAGAGAGCACGGTCGACCATCACCAAGTCTGACGCTAAGAAACCGAGGTTTTCAGCAAGGGGACTGTGAGAGGTCTGAGGATGGTGCTGGCCAGCTGGTCACACAGCTCTGAGAAGAGCTTCACTTCACTGCCATTTTCACCCTCCTGGTGGTTCACTGGTGCTCTCAAAGCTCAACAGCAAAGCCTAGCCACAAGGAAGTTGCCTTAAAGATTTCACGTTCTTCTCTTTGCTTCTACCCATCAACTGGCTCCCCAGTCTACAGGATAACGGCCAGAGGGCCCGCCTGGCTTGGGAACACCTTGTCCTGCCTTTGCAACATTTTGTCTTTTGCTTCTCTTCAATATGTTCCTTATCACCCAGCCTTCCTCGAGGATTTGCCATCTCCTGGGCTCTCTTACGTTTCTGTGTTTTCTTACTGGTGCTTCCTTTGAAACAACGTTCCCTTGGGCCCCAGCCTCCGCATTCACCCCTAGTCGGCCTTGAGAGGTTCCCCAGGAGACGCCTCCTTGGAGCTCTGCCTGTGATTAGGCGGAGCTGGATGATACATCTCTGGGGTTTTTTTTTTTTTTTGAAAGAAAACACTTTGATTGACAGTTAGGGGTCACAGGACCATTTTAGAGCACAACAGATATAAAAATCCCAAGACAATGGTGCCCGGCTATTAAAAGATATAGTGTCTGGGGCCTTAAAGGTTGGAAGATAAACAAGCAGCCATCTAGCTGGGAAGCAACAAAGTGCACATGGAAGAAGCACACCAGCCTGTGTGATCATGAGGTGTTGACGGGATGAGGTATCAGACATCAGAAGACCCAAAACAAACAATCATATCGATGTAAATGAGGGGTGGAGGCGTGGAGGGAAGACCCAAAGCCCATCTGTAGACAATTGGACATCCCTTCACAGAAGGGTCATAAGGAAGGGACGAGCCAGCCAGGGTGCAGTATAGCACCAACAAAATATACAACATTCCTCCAGTTCTTTAATGCTTTCTCCCCGCCACTATCGTGACCCCAGTTTTACCTTGCAAATCCAGCTAGACCAGAGCATGTACACTGGTACAGATAAGAGCTCTCGACACATGGAATCCAGGACAAATAAACCCCTCGGGAACAATAATGGAAGTAGCCATACCATGAGGGTAGGGGGGAAGAGTGGGGAAAAAGGGGAAACTGATCCAATTGATCAATGCATACACCCCACCACCACTAACAGAAACATGGGTGAAGGGAGACAGTGGATGGTGTAAGATATGAAAATAAAAATAATTTATAATTTATCAAAGGTTCATGAGGGTGTGGGAGGGAGGAAAAAATAAGGAGCTGATAGCAAGGGCTCAAGTAGAAAGAAAATGTTTTGGAATTGTCATATGATTGCTTTTTGTGCTTTTACTGACATCATTGCCACAGGTGGTGGGATTCCATCAGCCGGGTAGTATCCGAATTGCTACCACTCCTGTAAGGGTAGATGAATTTAAATATCAAATGACTCGGACTGGCTGGCATGCAACGGAACAGTATATTATTGAACCAGAGAAAATCCAGGAGATGTTCCCTTTACTCAACATGAACAAGGTATTTATCTTACGAGCATTTTCACTAGGTGTTGACCTGAATTTAAAAATTGAAAAGGTATTATTTTCACAAGTTCATTAAAACAAGAAAAGCCTCATGCACCCCTTTTAGATGACAAAGCCAGTTTAATGCCTGGACTAGGGTGAACTAGGAGGTGGGCTGGTCCCTGGCCGGTGAAAACACTTGCTTCTAACTGAAAGGCTGGTGATTTGGAGTCCACCCAGAGGCACATTGGAAGAAAGGCCTGGTGAACTTCTGAAAGTTAGCCACGGAAACCGTGTGAGCCTGGAGGACATTGTGGTGAGTGAAATAGGTCAATCACACAGGAGACCACTATTATAAAACGTCAAGAGAAGGTTTCACACAACAGGGAAAGACTCTTTGATAGACAGTAGGGCTGGGAGGGGAGGGGAGCTCACGGACTAAAGAATGGACACATTAACTTGGGTGAGACTAAAATATAAAACCAAACAAACACCCTCACTGCCATCCAGGCAATTCTGACTCATGAAGGGGAAGGATATACACAATAAGGGGGAGGTCAGGAAAAATGATGGAGTCTAAGGCAGACACTGAATAGAGTCATCTTTACCACCAAGGTAAATGCTAATATGCACACAATCTTGCAATAACGGTAATCTGTGAGTGGATGTATAGGTAGACACACAAACTGAACAGATGTGCAAAGGAGACTGGGGCAATATCCATGAATACAGAGGACATTTCTACCGATATACTCATATTTACCTAAGCTGCAAACGTATCCATGCAGATGGTAGAGTGGGCAGGAGATTAGGATAGTTATGAAAACTCCTTAATCAAAACCAAACACCTTGAAGGAAGAGTTACTGGGTCGCAGGGGCCATGAAAGCCAGTCGGCATAGCGAAGTCCTTGAGGGCAATGTTGTAACTTCTTGTTTGGTGAGTAGCTACTGGAGTCTTTAAAGCTTGCGAGCAGCCATCAAAGGTAAAACTATTGGTCTCTCCCTATCTGGAGGAAAGAAGAGTGAAAACAATTAGTCCAATGGATCAATGAACGATGCAAACATCAGTCTATAGGACCCGGGACCAGACGGAGAGAGTGACTGGTTACCACTGTCCATCACTGTGCAATAGAACACATTAGAAGGCCCTGGATAGAAGGAGAAAAATGTAGATCAAAATTCATAATCATAAAAAAGACCAGGCTTACTGGCCAGACAGATTGTTGGAACCCTTGAGACAAGTGTCCTTAGTCACCCTTCATGTTTGGAGTTGGGCTTACCCCCTGCCTCAATCTTCAGCCAAATGGTAGACAGTTCTATGAGGTGAACAAAAATGCTAATGAGGCATGCATACCTTAGAACAGTCAACCATGTGAGATCAAAGGAGTAGCATTTGCCCAAGAACAAAGTTCAGAAGACAGGAAGGGTTAGGAGCCAGGAAACACAGGGAGGACGTGGGATTAGTGATGTTGCATTGTGGGTAGTGTAGTCAATGACTTGAAACAAAGTGTGCATGAATTGTTGAGTGGAAAACTGATCCGCTCTGTAAACCTTTCACCAATTCACAGTACTACTGTGACACACACACACACACACACACACACACACACAGGGTCATCAGGAGTCAGAATAGAACTCACAGCATTGGAGCCATCCTGTTTGGTAGATGGGAAATAAGGAATGCGGCCTTATTTGTTCTCCACCTAACAGCTGAGGGAATGTTTTCCAGTAGGTCCTATTATTGTGCCCCCGGGTCTCAGGGTTTCTATACACAATTGTGTTTGAAAATTACAAACTGAAAAGATAACCAGGTGTGATAAATATGTGAATTGAAAGATTATGTTATGAAATGTGAAAACAATCAAGAAGTGCTATGGTATTTTGCCACACAATTGTCAGCTGGGCTCATAGCTGTACTTAACTAACAGATGCTGTGCCTGGTATGGGTCTAGCTTTACCTCCTAAATAGCTGAGAGATTCCACCTAACAAGGAAATTATTGATTTTTCCTACTGGATGATAATCTCCTTTGAATAGCAAGAAAAATGACTAATATTTACTAAGCACATATTCGTGTACCAATGAGTATGGCAAAACCGCTTACATGCATGATTTCATTGAACCTTTGCAATATTGCTGCTTTTAAGTGCCTTGGAGTCAGTTCTGAGTCACAGCGACCCCGTGTACAACAGAAGGACACCCTGCCCAGCCCTGCATCCATCCCCACAAATTTTCTTACGTTTGAGCTCATGGGTGAAGCCCCACTGCGTCAGTCCATCCTCAAGGGCCTTCCTCTTTCTTGCTGCCCCTCTAGTTGACCAAGTATAGAGATCTTCTCGGAGGACTGGTCTCCCCTGAGAACAGGTCCAGTGCCCCCGAGACAGTCTCACGCTTCGTCCTGGGAGAAGTTCGGCCATGATGCTCCTGGGCTGTGCTTCCTCCAGGACAGATTTGCTTGGTTTTTGTCAGTCCCCAGTGCTTTCACGAGTCCTTGTCAGCACCAGAGCTGAAACATCGATTCTTCTCCAGTCTTCCTTATTCCATGTCCCATTTTCACATGCATGTCAGGTGACTAAAAATCCCGTGACTTGGGTAGGTGGGCCTTATCTGCATATTGCTTCGGACATGCTGTCAGGAGAGACCAGTCCCTGTGGAAGAACATCCTAGTAATATTATGGGGCATAGGTTACTTCTAATCAGAAAACAAGCATAGACAGTTTACATCGTAAATCCAAGCTCATTCTGCTAGAAAGAGCCGGAGCTGATTAGAACTCAGGCCGTCTGTCTCCATGGCATATCCTACTTTGGCATACCAGGCGAGCCTGTGCCTGGAAGCAGATGTGTACATTTCCCGATTGATTATCTCTTCAGTAGTTAGGATCGCTGAAGGGTCTCTATATTGATCTGGAGGCTGGAGGTGTTTGCCCCGGGAGGTATTAATGGGTGGTGCACACTCCCCTGTCTATAGTGCGGAGCAGTTTTCTGTGACAGCCATGTGGTGGCACATGGATGTCACACTACATGGTCTCCCATGGAATGCCATCTCTGCTACTAGCAAAGCTGTGCTGATAGCTTCTTATATGACAAATTTGGGATGCTTTGTGGTGAGCCCGCACCATCATGAATTTGTCTTATGCCATGACCATAAGGGATTGACCCTAAAATTCAAGATTGTCCAACATCTGAAAAATAATCAAATAACTTTATTAATAGGATAAAGGACAAAAGTCACATAGCTATCTCAATAGACACAGCTTTTGACTACAGTTCCTTGCACATATGTGGTGCTCACTAGATTTTTGTTGAGTGGATGAGATCCAACTTCACTTTGTTCTATAAAGCTTGATAGCCCCGGAAACCCAGGGGCAGTGGGCTGCTGGGCGTCAGTTCATTGGCAGTGAGTTTGGGCAGTCAGTCGCTTCCAGGTCATTGATCCGCCATTTCTAGAGCCTGCCTTGAGTCATGCGCTTTTATTCAAAGATGGCAGCTAGGGCTCCAACCATCTTCTCTGCATTCCAGACAGTGGGGTGGAGGAAGAGACAAGGGTGTAAGCAGATGGAGCTTATTGCCAGTTGTCTTTTTACAATGGTTCCTGGTTGCTGCCACACAACACTCACATTTACACCCCACTGACCCGAATTCAATAATAGTCCAAGCTAGTAGGTGGAGAGAGGCTGGGAAACTTACTGTGGGACCCTGTCTCAGCGACTGTGTGTCTAAATGGGCACCTGGGTTCCATCACTCGGCGAGAAGGAGGCTGGAGACAAGTGCAAGCCTGTCTACTCAGTGCTCATGTATGCCTGGGCTCAGGCTCAGAAACAGCACTGCGGATCCCTCTGATGCCAAGTGCCAGATGGTAGTTAAGAGTTTTACGAAGCATTTCTGGTCAGATAAATTTACATCGACTACTACGTGTATATTGACTTGAATCGTGACCTTGTGATCTCTTTAGATTTTGGCTGGACTCTACAATCCTGGAGACGGTCACATCGATCCTTACTCGCTAACTATGGCCCTGGCTGCCGGTGCTAGGAAATACGGTGCCCTTTTAAAATATCCTGCTCCAGTGACTTCTTTGAAACCCAGGCTGGATGGAACATGGGAGGTTGACACTCCACAAGGCTCCTTGAGAGCAAATCGAGTTGTGAATGCTGCAGGTAAGCATCGTAGCTGGTTCGTTTGGTGGCTTTTACTTTAAATTAGTGCTTTAAAAAAAAGTGGCAAAGAGAGCCGTAAAGTCACGTTCCCGATTGTGCACATTGTTATGAAACACGGCGGTGTCCCCAAGTTAAAGTTAGACAGCTGGTCTGTTTTGAAGCCACAAAGCCTGGGTCACTTTGCTGTATGGCTGACCTTGCAGTTCCCAATCACAGGAAGCTGGCACTCTCCTTCAGGGCTCGTTCTTCTGCTCCGGATTGTGCTCTGCCAACATATGCTTTGTTCCTCTTTCCTGCTTCCACTCCTTCTTTACACT